CTGCACCGCCACTGTGAAAGGCCTTCTATCACCAAAGAAGTTGCAGTTTCCGCAGCCCGGCCGGAAATGTGTGGCGTGAGAAGAATGGCTACCATCACCTGCCCATGTTCCAAGCACATGGGCGGCTCGTCTCGTCCCTTTTTGAAGGTACCCTGTAAAGGCGTTTGTTTTGAAGGGAAACAACAAGGGGAACACCATTCGGGTCAGAAGGAGACTCCAGGTAGTTGTTTAGGGTTTAACGATTGGGTTTCCATTTAACCCTCATTTTTTTCTTTTTTTTTTTTTTTTTTATAGCAGGGGATCCTGGACCAGTTCCTCCTACTCCGGGGGTGAAGTGTGGGTAGTTGTTTTCCGATTGCATCGCCCAGCTGAAAGGGGATGATTGATTGAACAACCACTCACTTGACTATGGGCATTTTTCTTCCAAGCGGACCGTAACCCAAGCTTTTCCAATGACCCAACAAATCCAAAGCATGGGTGGCCTTTCTAGTTGTTTCGGTCGGAAATAGATGCCTAGGTCCCCCCCAAGTAGTGCCCTTTTACCGTTTCTTTTTTTGGGGAGGGGTTCCCCTACTAAAATCGACTACAGAAATCAGTTGGTACCCTTCCTCCAACTAACATGGCACCTGTCAAGCGGTACCTGGAACACGAATTTCTTTTTGAAGGGACCCCCTGTCAGTTGCCATGCTAGTGGGATATTCTAACCTCTCTATTGGAGGACCTAGGATTGACCTTAAGGATGAGCGGCTGGATCCATAACATGATCTATAACCAATAGGATGGGACCTACTGGCGGACTGACCTGGCCGTTTCACAAATCTACCGCGGGGCATCCACCGATACGCCAGGCGTCCCGGTTCACCTTCATGAGCTTCAACCGCAAGTGATCGAGTGCAAAGCTCCAAGCTTCACAGAATTGGTTGTACAGAAACAGGGCTCCCTTAACTTTGGGGGAAGTGACCCCCATTTTTAAAGAGTCAAGTAGACTGCGGGTAGAGACGAACCCATGCACTCCGATTCTTGATTTTGAGACAAACACATGTCATCTACCAGGGCTCTTTAAAAGATACATTTGCTTGCCCATTTGAAACCTGGCTGGCTTTTTCAACACCAAAATAAAAGGGACACCACCATTTACAAGTTGCAATGTTCAGGTGTATAATGTCAGGATCCCTGAGAAAGGTTACTCAAATGGTCTGGGACTTAGCTAAATAGCGAGAACCCTGGTTACAGGGGCTTGCAACCATTGTAAGTGGGTTACAACCAAGGTTTCCATAGCCATTTAGCCAACTTCCAGACTATTCAAGTATACTAGGTTATAAAGGTTATAGCGGTTTTCGGCACAGTTAGTTGCTTTGATTTTACTACCATTTCGGCAGGGCCAAAAGTTCTAAGGTCCAACTTGCATACCCCAAATGGACACACCCCAACATTAGTGGTTATACATGGGCAAGGTACATACCCCAAAATCCGTCCCTTAAAAAGTCCTATACTTGGTGGTGCATCCATCCCCTTAGTTTTTTAGCTTTTTAGTGTATAGTGGGGGTTTATATTTAACCCACTAAGAGGTTAACTTTTTGCGAGGGGTCTGAGGGCAGCCCAGGTGGGGTATGTAAGTTGGCCCTTAGAAAAGTCATGAGCTTTGATCGCTGCGAGCCTCGACGGGGTCCCTCGATCCTCGGTCGCCGGGCTGCTGAGTCAGCCAATCGCTTGGGCTCGATGTTGGGCCTTCGAGTTGCAGATGGGTGGCTCATTTGTTTTTTTCCGGGCCCCCCAAAATGGGTGGTTTGCCATTTGGTCTCCCTTTGAAACCACCAAACAAGAAGATACCCCCACAAAAGACAGACCCAGATTGGAGTGGAGTTTAGAATGGGCTGGTGTGTATTTGGGGCTAGTCATATGGTTTTGGTCATATGTGATTGGTGGACATGAATCCCCACCTAAATGATGTCCACGAAAGGTACCCACATCTCCTGTGATTGACTATCGCAGAAGGCCCTAAAACAACGCCGAACCCGTCACTTATGACGTTATGAGGGGGGCCTTTGAAGAGCAGCCCAAAGCTGGATCATATCGTCCCAGCTCTTCAACGATGCCCTTTTGCTCACTCAGAGAGTTCACGGACTTTAGTCGCTTTTTGATTTGGACCATTTTAGTGGTAAATGAACAGTTTGGTCACTTTGTGTGGCCCATCCACTCGATCGGAAGTCAGATTGGCCTTTGTGTTTAGTCAGTATTCCTGAAAGTCCACCGAAATCCTCGGTTTGGGGCAGCCTTTCCTGTTCAGTGCCAAAGGTGTGAAGCAGTTTCAAAACCAATCGCCAACAAAAGTAAACAAACTGTGTAAAATGGCCCAAATCAACTGGCGACTGAAGTCCATGAACTCAGGTCCACAGAAGTCACCTTGTCTCTTCGCTCCGGCTGGCGCAGCAGCCTGCGGCCGAAGCATTTGCACCTCAAATCTTTTTCGCTTCGGACGCCTGTGGTGTGCAGAAGTGGGGTCGGATTCACAACCGGCTCTGCCTGGAGTTACCTTCTGATGCTTAAAAATGGTTGGTCATTACCCAAGATTAAGAGGTCATGGACCCATTTTTTAAGGGTCATGGAGACTCTGGGTGCATGCAGGCGGACCCGGTCTCACCGAAGATAGCGATCTTGGGGATGTGGGTTTGACAATGCCATGAGCTTTGGGAAGACCCACAGCAATTTTGGTGTCCAAAGGGTCCCCAATTCCTTGGTCCAGACGAACTTAATGCCAATTTGGCATCCAAGATGCGCTCCAGCCCGAGAATCCACCCACAGGGGTGGATTTGGAAATTGGCATTTGCGACCGACACCTCAAAGAGGTTGCGCTCTCACCGCGAATGGCGTGAAAAAGCGGATGGAGCGCTCCTTCAGGCGGACCGGCGGATGCTTGGGACGCACGAAGGATTCATCGACGGGGTGTTCCCCCCAATAGTGGTTCCCCCCAAGGAAGTGGGACACTCCTACAACGTTAGATAGGAATATATTATATATACTCAACCAGGGGTTCATTAGCTCGGTAGATTCTGTCCATCAGCATCCACGCGTGGTCTCAGAATGAGGTGCTAGATGTTCGCATCGTCTACACTCTAGACAGCGCATGTTTTATCGTGATATGAGCTTCCCCAGAATTAGCTCCCCTTTTCGTTTTTGTTTTGCTTTTTGGGGTCCCTTTGTTTTCCACTAACCAGACAGACAAAGATATATTAACCAGGCTCCCGCCTGCTGCCGCCGACCCTCGGCGCATTAAGGGAAAAGTCACAAGGACCGGTCCTGAAACACGTTCGCAAACCCAGGGACCACTTATAAGATCCTCTACGACCACAAACAAGGATTAACGGAAAAGTCAGAAATATGGCAGCTAGTCCGTTAATTACCGCTTGGGCCGGCTTGCGCCCAAGTCACTTCGAGTTGGCCCGGGAGCGCCCTGAAACTGGCCCTCCCGAAGTTGCCCTGGACCGGTCGCCGGCAGGGACCGGGACAGGCTGGTCCCAGTCTGGCGCAGTGTCCTGAAACACGGGTGCCAGTTGGAAAGGCGTCTGGAGCGGTCCTGGCCGGGACCAGGACCACTGGTCCCGGGACCCTGGTCCCGGCACCGGTCCCAGGACCGGTCTTGGCTGACTACAAGTAATCCAGGGTCCCAGGACCAGTCCCAGGACCGGTCCCAGGACCGGTCCCAGGACTGGTCCCAGGACCAGTCCCAGGACCGGTCCCAGGACCGGTCCCAGGACTGGTCCCAGGACCGGTCCCGGGACCGGTCCCGGGACCGGTCCTGGAAATCCACTTTTCGTGCGTTCGGGCGTGTCCCCCAGGGACTATCATTGATTCCAATCGTTTGTTTTGCAGTGTTCTTCATGCGGTCCTAGGAGCAGTGCCACACCTAGATGCTGCAGCAAAGAGAGGCCATTCCTCACCTATCAATCTTCATCCCTTGACTCGTCTCTGAGTGAGATGACGAGATAGAGGTGAAAGGAATGGGTGGCAGCAGTCATGACAGGTGCAGTTGTTTTGTTGAAGGTGTCAAGCATTGGGCATCTGCCAAAACAGGGGCCCTTTGAACATCTCTGAGGCCTGTTGAAGCCTCCCGGTATGGACATGGTTTGGTTGACAGAACCCGAAAAATGGCAAATCTTCGCCCGAGCTCACGTTTGCCTCCCTGCTAAGGTGTTTTTGTGGCATGTGGTTGAGAAGCCGAAATGACATGACTGCATGGCCATTTAAGTTGGTTTGCAGGACGCAGAAGAAGCGCGCCAGCTTGTGGAAGCAAAGAATTGGTTTCCTGTTGCTTCAGGAGGGGATCCTCGTACTGTGGGGGGACGAAATCCTGCACCACTTTGAGACCATGGGAAACCACTGTTTGTTGGTATTTACAAGGGAATCATCATTCCAGGGTTTCTTGGGTGGTGCAGGATTTCGTCCATCCACAGTATTACCCAAAACGTGGGACGTTTTGTTTGGGAGGACTCAAGCATTGCCGCCTGATGGGTCCTTTAACTGTGTATTTTTACCTGCGCCAGGTGGTCTTGTTTCTGGTGATGATCCGCTTTCAAGCCTTGCAGTGTCAAATGGTTGGTGTCCATGTAACGTATGCTTGCTTCCGGTCGCCTTTGGGTTTCTTGTCCTTCCCTTTGGTTAGACATTGGCTTCGCTTCTGGTCGCCTTTGGGTTTTCCTTTTCCTTCCCTTTGAAATTTGCTTATCCGGTGCTGCACCCTCTCCTTTGGCTCGGACGGCACATGGACAGATGCTAGTCGGACATAAACACAACGGCGACAAAGGACCCAAGGTGCTGGCATCAGACCCAGCACTGGACATGTTTTTGCTAGGCAGTTGGGCAGTTGGACCCAGCACTGGGCAGTTGGACAAAAACCACTTCGCATCAGGGGGTTGTTTCTGGGCTTGGTGGGTGCAACGGGCATGCCCAGCCGAAACCAGCAGAGTGGCCTACACCGGAGTGATAAGAGCAGGGCGGATTTCTGACATTAGGGGTCGAAACCGTCTAAAACCCGATGACAGCGCATGGCCTCAACTACAAGGACCGGGTATCGCGACACTCGCATGGCAGGTTTGTGGCCGAAGTCGTTCGTTACCCAAATGTCTTCCCTGAGCCCAAGAGTAGTGCAAAACCAGGGGTTGTCACCAAGATATGATAAACGTACACTTGTTCATGCTTCGCGTTTCCCAAAGCCGAGCTGTCCTCCAAGATGATCGGTTGCAGAAAGGCAGCGCGCAGAAATCAAAGCGCGAAACGAGCGCGAATACCCGCAACACGAGCGCACATATCCGCAGAACGAGCCGCACACGAGCGCAACTTGGAAGCACGTCGCAATTGCTCGCCTTCCTCCGAACAGATTGAAACACACAACGCCCTGTTCTAAGGAGATGTCCAAGCACGCGGCAGTCCCGCTGATTCCAAGCTGTATGAGGAGCCACTCTTTGGGAAACAAGAGGAAGATGGCGGGGGGTTGCGCACTCTAGTGGTTTTTTTGTGATACCAAAAGAGCCGAGGTGACAACGTACTCATGGCAGCGGAATCAAGCACTTGGGTATCCGAGATTTCTCCCAGTTTGTAGCGCACGGGCCCCTGAAACAAGCCGCCATCTGCATGCTGTGGCATGTGCCAGAATCCTCCGTCAAACTACCTGACAAATGCTTGAAGTCACGTCCATCATGTTGGTTGCAATACCCTTCTTCTTGGATGGTCTGGGAGCTAGCTAAATGGCTAGAAACCCTGGTTGCAACCCACTTACAATGGTTGTAAGACCCCTGTAACCAGGGTTGCCAGCCATTGAGCGATTCCATCTAAGTTCCGGAACAATCACGCTTACCGATCGTGGTGTTCGATCGTGCTTTGGTTCAGGCCATGCTCCAAGGACAAGGGTCCACTTTCATGACTGTAGGGCTTGATTCCCCAGTCTTTTCAACCATCGTTCTTTTCACACACAAAACGTTTTCCCTGGGATTCTGGATGTTTTCTAGAAAGAAGGATCCCTAGAAAGAATGGGGAAGGTACCCCTAGAATGAGTGGACAACTAGCGCCCTTGTGTCCACCAACCTCGCACCCAAAAATTTCCCTTCAAGAGGAACGTGGTCTTCCAGGACCCCCCCAGGGTTGAGGGTCCGTGGGTCCTATCATTTGAGGCTTCAAGTTTTGTCCGCTTTTCAGCGTTTTCACCTGTCCCCGAACAAGCTCATAGGCTTACTGAAAACTTGGAGCCCTGCGTCGTTTGGGACAAAGGCATCATTTACAGTAAATCAATATCTAAAAACACACAGAAGTGGTACACAAATACTTGTAGAATTGTGAGGGAATTGCTTCCATTTGCTTGAGAGCATTTGTCATTTCCCCCTGTTGGACATGTTTGCTTCATTTTTTTTCCAGGCTTTAATTTGTCCCAGGGGACTTAAGCACTTGCTTAGGTGGTCCGGGAGTAGCCCTGGCTGTAACCCAGTTGAAAGTCTACTGACACCAGGGTTACTAGCTCAGGTCCCCCAGTAGTGCCCTTTCTCACCCCTTTTTTGGGGGAGGGTTCCCCTAGTAAAATAGACTACGCTAGCAAAGTTGGTACCAACTGATTCTAACCTCTCAAACCTGGAGGACCTAGTAGCCATTTTGCGATTCGTCCCAGACCATCTAAGCAGAGGATGGCATTTTTCGAGTGCCGCCTTCCATTTCCATTCTTTCCACGGATCCTTCTTTCTAGAAAACCTCCGGAACCCCAGGCAAACGGCCGGTTTTGGAAAAGAACGATGATTGGAAAGAATCTTCAAATTCCTTGAGCGACCCCGGCCAGAACGGTTCTGGGTATGCGAAGCAGGCGCGCGCGCGCTTTTCGGACAGAAGCGCCAGGGGACAAATGACGTTTGGGTCCCTTGAAATGACCCGTAGACGTAAATGGGCCTGTTTGTTTCCGGTTTGACCCCCAAAATTATGGTGTAGACGTAAATTGGCCTTTCTTTTTAAGGTTGGACCCTCGAAAATTGGTGGTGTTCCTTGTGGTTTTCCTTTCAAACTCATCCAGCTGTCTCCAATTTCATTCTACTACCCATGCCACTTCTGCAATAAGAAAAAGGGAATCCCTGGCTGCACTCGGTGCATGCCGCGGAAGACTGAGGAGATGTAGATCTCCGTTTCTTGATGGCTCCCAGCCATCCCCTTCGCTTTTTAGTTTTTTTAGTGTTTAGTGGGGGTTTCCATTTAACCCGCTAAAAGTTAAACTTTTGGCGGGGGATCTGCGGACAGGCCAGTTTTTCTGGTTCCATTTTCCCTTGGGCAAGAGAGAAATGGAACTGGGGACCCCCCTAGCCCTCGGTAGGTGAGACAACTTTTTAGATAGTAGAACCGGGGGACCCTGGTAGTGCGCTTTTTGGCGCATTTTGAGGCGTGCAGTCTTTCATTGGTCAGCCATGTCAGTTGCACTAGATCTAATACAGTCCCCCAGTCTCTCAAATAGTTGGTATTTCTTGGAGAATTATGTTTGAGCAACCATGTTCAGAGGGCGCACCATTTCCACCCATAGCTCACATGTCAAGCGTTTCGATGCTTTTCTTCTTTGGGGTGCCCTCTGCCCAATGGGCGCTCTGTAACTAGTTTGGAGCCATGAACTCGCACAAAGTCGCGCCCTGCTTGGGGTCAAGGATCCCTGGGGCTCGGAAAAAGCATACCTGGAGTCTCCATGACCCTTTAAAGATAGGTCCATGAACCCAATATTTAGGGTAGTGACCCCATTTTTTAAGGGTCATGGAGACTCTAGGTAGACGAGGGCACCACACTAGGTTTCCCCCCCCCCCCCCTACGCATGGTTGGTGTCAAGCCTTGGGAGTTCCAAGACTTGGTTCGATAGGCAGGGAAGGAGCCCCGAGAAAAAGAAAAATCCATCCTATGCTCACTTCCCGAGTTCATAAACTTTAAACCTTTTTTTTTGAAGACCATTTTAGTGGTAATTATAAAGTTTGAACTTTTCTTGGGCCATCCACTCAGCCAGTGAGTATGGCTTCCTTTCTCCGGGAGCCAAAACCGGTTCATTTCCTTCCCACCGGGACTCGTCATTCAGCTGCCGCACCAGCAAGAAGGCTGGCTGAAGGAAGCACAACCGCTCGATCCGAGAAGTGGGCATTGAGGATCTGCTCATGCTTCTCCATTGCTTATACTATAATCGTTCCATTTGCTGCAATGAATATTGTGTTGTATTCGATTCTGTTGGTAAAAAAAGGGGGGAATGACAGTCCATTTCCTAAAATGATTGAATATGTTTCTTGTTATTCTTTCGGTTCTAAAAACCGGATTCAGGACAGTTTTCACCAAAAGCCGTCCTTTTCAGGTGCAGTCGCACGCGCAGCTGTCGGGGCCCGAGACTTCCAGCACGACGTATATTCCTTTGAAAATGCTTTGAATGGTCCGGGGCGAGAAGGATTTAGTCATGACTTACTTGTCATGGCCATCAGGGCCAAAATCAAATTAATCAAACTTAGTCATGATCATGATTATAATGATTCGCAGTCTTCTTCTTCTATCACGAATTTGTTTTCGGGGCTTTAAAGACCCCGGCGTGCCCCATTCTAGCTGTTTAGTTATTGCAGTAGAAGTTCCAGACTCGCTGAGTATGGGCCAGAATCACCGATCGCACTTTGGGTCGGGCAAAAGCTGAGGTAGACATCACCAAGCCTCAAGCAGGGCTCCTTAAAAGATACATGTTGTCCATTTGAAACATGGCTGTTTTCACCAAATATAAAGGGAAACCACCATTTACAAGGCAATGTTCAGGTGTATAATGTAAGGATCCCTGTCAACAGTCGAAGATTTGTGGGGGCGTGGCTTTGCGTTGGGTCGGCATCATCGAAATCCCCGGTGTCGGGACATTTGCGGAGCAACCCTACCAGGGACAGATGGCGATGTGGGGTGGTGAGCACACAAGAATTGCCCACCCAAGCATTGCCATATGGTTGTGTTGACTTTTTTCAGGGGACCTTTTCTTTTGTGGGTTTTAGAGGCAACCAAACGGACAACCCCTCTTTTTTTTGAGGGGGTGTCCTACAAACAGGGAAAGGAGAAGCTGAAATCTGGGCGGTGAGGTCCTTTTGGCTTCCTTGGCGCAGCTTCAACCTTTGGTTCAACCGGGTCTGTGTCCTGCCCTGAATCCACTGAAGGCCATGGTCCATGGGGTTTGCTTCTCTGGGGTTTCAATTATCCAAAGGGAACCAGGTAACCCTTAGGTGGTGGTTTCGCCTTGGTTGTAGCCCACCAATTGGGGGGGAAGTAACTTTTGCTGGTTTCGTGTAGCGGCTAAAAAATACATGGGAAACCACCACCACACCACCCACATCCGCCCACCCATTGGGAGGAAGTCGAGGGAACCCACCGAGTTTGGGAAGTTCCATGAAAACCCCCGTCGCTTCTGCGAGCCGATTTTGCCACCCGCCCTCTCAGCAGCCCCAAACTTGAGGCCCCGGGGTGAAGGCACTGTGCGCGAGGAGGGGGCTGCCGGAGAGGGAAGATCGATTTAGGAGAGTATGTTTGCTACTACTTAAAGGGGCGATCGATGCGATACGTCAGGTACGTGGCTAGTAACCATGGTTATAACCCACTGAACGGAGACTTATAACCGTGGTAAGTGGGGTACGTCAGTTAAGTGGCTAGTATCCATGGTGAAACAACCCACTGCACGGAGACTTTATAATCATGGCTTTTGTGGGTTATAAGCATGGTTACTAGCCACTTACCAAGTACCCTGTTTGTTGCTAGCTGGTGGTTGGAAGGGAACTTCGGAGCTGGGGGTATCCAAATTTGCTTGTTAAAGAGGGAGCTAAGGAGCTACCAGGAGTTCTGTAAGGACATGGTAGTTTAAGTAGTGCCTGTCCTGTTAGTTTACCTTTGAAACCCACCAAAAAAGGGCTACCCTCAAAAGAAGACACACCCATTTGACAATGTGTCAAAGCAGGGTTGCCAAGGTGGAACGGTATTGACTCCAGTTAGCACGCACACACAGACACACTTATGGGGGCAAAAAGCCGAACCTGAGCTCAGGGGATTAGTAAACCAGCTCGGACCCAAGTTAACTTTGGAATTCCTTATTTCGGTTGTGAAGTCGGTCCATGCCAGGGATGTCTTGCAACCGAAGTCTGAGATCGTTTGGAAGTTGTTGGACTTGTCGCTTGTCAGATACCGCCAATTTGTTTCACCTCAGTCGAGGCGGGCAACGGGTTCTTGTGGCCATGGGTACAACCGTCCAGACCGATTGCAGCCAACAGGTATTGGCTGAGGATGGGCTGAAGCGGGCCCCCTCTTCAGCGTGTGTGTTGCGAACGGTTGAAGCTGGAACATAAGCTGCGCGATGCTTCGGAAATTGCCCCCAAGCTCAACATGCCCCTGAAACCTGAGATCCAGAGGTTTTGCACCACGCTGTTCAAACAGCTAGGCAATGACCGGCAATGAGCATTGGTCTCAGCGAGGCCTTCTATGGAGGAACATTCGGCGCCAAAAAGCGCCCAAAGCAACTTGTAGCTGTTAGTCCGAGTGGTTCTATTCTCACTTCCAGAATTTCTGGACTTTACACTTTTTGGACAGACCATTCCAGTAGGAAATGACAAGTTTGGACTTGTTTTGGCCAATCCGCGAGTATTTGGTTGTATCGCCTCGCCAATTCACGGGATCTACGTTTCTCGAGATTCAAGGAACGCGGCGAAGCGCTTCCGAGACGGATTCCTGGGATCCACTGGCAATGATTTTCGGGGTACAGGCACGGCGTCTATCCCAAAGAGGCAACGCAGTGACTAGAATTGGATACTACTGTGGATGGACGAAATCCATTTCGCACCACCCAACCCTAGAATGACGAGTCCTTTGTAAATGCCAACAAACAATGGTTTCAACCATGTTTCAAAGTGGTGCAGGATTTTATCCACCCACAGTAGGTACCACAAGCAACGTATCCAATGTGTCCCTCAAGCGCTTTTGTTTGTTTCCGTTCCTATGTTGGGCTTGCTGGGTATTTTTTGTTCTGTGTGGGGGGTGGGCGAACATGGAGTTGAAGCCTTGGGCTCAGGAAGGATGCTTAAAGATGAACGGGAAAAACGTAAGCTTACCGTAGGTCCTTTATTTGGGGATCAAACTCTTACTATATGATTTGGAGTTGTAGGCTCAGACTCCTTGCAGACTCGAAAGTAAGGTACATCCGCCGTTTGGGGGACATGTAGAACCCCAAGTTCCATAATGGCCCGGAACCAGTTTTTTTTGCAGACATGGGTCTTGCTTTTTAGACCAACCATGGCGCCCGGTTTTCGCCCGGTTTTCCTTTTAGCTTCCCTTTTAAAACCACAAAAAAGGGGGTACCTTCAAACAAATCCACCTGAACCCAAAAAAAGCAACTGACAAATGGGTTTTAGCCATCCAAACTTAGGTTTGGTGAGTTCCGACTTTTTTACGGGTTTCCAGGAAGCAGGAGTTTTAGTTAAGAATCTTGCTGTTTTAGACCAACCATGTTGCACCGGTTTTCCTTTTCCCTTTAAAACCACCGGATTTGAGAGTTCCGGCAGACTCAGATCTGGGCGTTTGACGGATTTTCCCGTAGGAACAGCGGCGCTTGGAGCGGCTGAACCAGAGCTTGTGGGAGCAGCGCCGGCGTCTCGAAGGCCCATAGAGCGCGCGGCGCGCGCATCGTGGCTTGGGATTTTTGGTGAAACCAACCCAGACGCTCAGCCGGACCCTCCTAGCTGCCAGACGCTCAGCCGGACTCTACGGAGGGTCCGACCCAAAAGGACAGCAACCAGGGCCAGCAAGCAGCAACCCATTTTGATTCGGCCCGGGCAGTCGCGAGCCTTTGGGTGGTGGAGTTTTGTCCGGTTGCCTTTAAAACCACCTCAAAAAGGGTACCATCCAATAGGGTTTCCGAGCCATTTCCCTTTGAACCTCAAAAGAGGCGATCGGTTCAATGGAAATCACCGGTGAATTGATCAACTTGTTTTGGGGAATCCAGTGATCCCTGTCCAACAAGGAGAGAGAGAGAGAGAACAACAAAAACAACAACAGGAAGAAGTGTGGGCTGTAATGAGTTGGAATGGCGCGGACTTTATCGCTTCCAACTAATGGTTTCCTTCTTCGTTTGGGGATCCCAAGGTTCATTCCCGAAGGAATTTGGCTGAAAAGTCATTGAGGAGTGTTCTCTTTGGGCGGAAAGGGATTGCCTTTTGAGTTTTTTGGTAGGACCAAGACATACGAGATATGAGTGAAGCAATGTATTGAAGGGGCTGCAGTATTTTCCATTAGGTTGGGACCAACCAGTTTTGGAAACACTTAGTTTTTTCTTGAAACTCGCATATGCCTTTCTATGAAGCCCATGATTTACCTGCTTATTGCAAAAACCATCCAAAAAGGGGACCCCACTGCAGAAACTCCATTCACCCCCAAGCCCAAGTAAGCCCTGGTTCCCCGGAACCAACTCTTCCGGAACTGTTTGGCTTCCGGCTCCTAGGAGCCGAATCCACCCCATCTCACTGCCCGAGGTTCGTTTCGGACTTTCGTCGCATGGGTTTGAATTGCCATCTTGGTGGCAGCCAAAACCTTTGGGGGACGCTTTATTGTGGCCAATCCACTCGATTGGGGAAGTGAGCCATAGCTTTCCGATGGGAAAAAGGATGTTGGTAGATTCCTGGGCGGTATTTTAGCTGGTTGGGTGCCTTATAAGTTGCCCTCCGCATATGTCGCGCATCGATGCCAAGGTCTTAGGTCAGGGTTTCCGAGCCATTTCCATTTGTGGAACCTCCAAAAGTGGCGATCCAGTAAATTGATCGCCATTTGACTTGGGGAAATTCAGTGATCTCTTTGCCACCACGAGTGGGCCTCTTCGCAGGCGAAGCCACGGATCTGCGCGGCAAGCTGGCGAGGCCTGGAGCGACACAGCGGGCGGTCCATGTCTTGAATGTTTTTGTTTTTTGAATATACATTGAGTCTCCAGGACCCCCTTAAAAATGTTGTCATGACCCTTTTGCTTTGGGTACTAACCCCATTTTTAAAGGGTCATGGAGACTCCATATGTGGATGTGTTGTTTTGGGGACCCCCCCCAAAAAAATGAATTGTGCTTTTCCATTGTTGCTTTTCCTTTAAGACCACCCCAACAAGGGTACCCTCAAGAAAAGACACACCCATATATGAACAAGAATCCGACAACACATTTTTTTGGCAAATCCGTATTGGTTTCTCGAACAAAACAACCTGAAAGGGGTGTTCGCTCCGACAACACACATTGCAAACTGACCGTGGTACAGGGCTTTCCTGGTTCCCGCGCATTGTTTCGGGCATCTGTTCTTCAATGAGAGCGACCTCATCCCAGAAGTACCACAATTGTCGCTCTTAGCGTACCTTCATGAGTGGACCCTCTTTTCATTGGATAACTTGACAAATTTGGCAATTCCGGGGACGTCTCACCTTGAACCCATGAAGGTCCCCTTGCTTGGCGCTTCATGATGCGTCAAGATTCACTTTCCGAGTCCGGGCGCTGGTCTTTTCAAGTTGACAGAGCGACCGAATCGCGAGAGGCAAAAATCGCCTCTTTCGCGTCTTGAAGGGGGCGCTTCCACTTGGGAACCTGAATTGGTGATTTGGGTTTGGGGGTTTGAAGGCCCCAGCTCGGTTTGAAGTCAACTGGGCTTGTTGTTACCTCCGAATCCGTCCAAACCCAATTTGGATGACAATCCTGAACGGTAAATGGTCCTGGACCCTCAAACTACCCAGAAAAAGGGACTCCACCCCACATTTTGGGGCTACAGCCAGTTTTTAAGTTGGAATTAAGGTGATCTCGGCGGACCTTCCATGGGCCCAAATTCCGCAGCACTCGGCAGGGCGGAGGCCCAGTCCCAGCGCGAGGCGGGGCTTGGCAGTCGCGGGGCGCCGGTTGTTTGGTCCGAGGGAGGAGCTCCCGGCCCGTCGTGAACGCGACGTCGGGAAGAAGGAATTTGGGTCCCGGTGGACGGGATGACCAAAACCACACTGTTTCCATGCTCAACTGCACGCAAGCGCATCCAGTGAGAATTCAATTACTCGACCCAGTCCTGGGGGTAGTTCGCCTGTTCAAATTGGTCACTCTGCCCAGTGATTTTTCGCCCTGTTCTGAATGTCCAGTACAAGTAGCTTCACGTTGCCATGCCGAACATGGAAACGGTCAAGCGGAAATGGGTCTTGGTAGCCTCTTGATGCTATCCATGTTTGAGGGAAGGATGGCTGGTTGCCTACAAAACAAAGAGGCAGCTGTTACCATTTGGGACCACTACACTCACATGAATCATCACAGAAATCAGCATTTGTTCATGTTGCTGAGTGGTCAAGCATAGGTGTTGTAAATGTGCCTCAATTTCAGTGGCAGCTTTGCATGGCTGCTTTTGGTTTGGGGCTTGGGATCCAACATTTGTCAACCCTTTGTCTCAAAGTGAGGTACCACTACCAACATGAAACCCCAGTTGCCCAGTGGTGCCCTTTCTTCCTTTTTTTGGGAAGGGTTCCCCTTCAAAGTCAATCAACCAAAAACAAGATGCAATCTTTTCCAATGGCCACTGGGCATCTGAGAAACTCACCAGGTCGCCAATTCAGCCAGAGGGTCCCTTGGTACCTTCAAGGGAGGTGCTGAACGACCCCTTTTTACCCCCCTCTTCAGCCATCCTCATGAGGTACCAAGGGACCCTCTGGGACAAGCTCGGGCTTGTGGCTGAATTCAAGGGCGCTGCAAAACACGCGCCCAGCTTTGCAGGCTCTCATTGCGCGCATTGGTTGCGGGTGAGGAACACCCAGCGTGTGAGTAGGGAGTTTTAGATACAGAGCCGTGCTTTCGCTGTGTGGCTAGGTCCCCAGCTAGGTGCCCTTGTACCCTGTTTTGGGGGAGGGTTCCCCTACTAAAATAGACTACAGAACAAAGGGATACAAAGGGTACCCTTATTCTAACCTCTCCACTGGAGGACCTAGGTGTCATAGGTTCCACCACCAAAGAAACCCTGGAAGGACGATTCCCCTGTAAATACCAACAAACAATGGTTTCACCCCTGGTTTCAAAGTGGTGCGAAATGGATTTCGAACCCATCCAAAGTAGGTTGGGTCGATTCGTCATGTTTACCAAACCGTGGACAGAATCCACTTGCCACTTGGGATGGACGAGGCCTTTATCGATATGAAATCGGGTTGATCAACCACCGAAAATCCAACCTTTGCCCAGTAGGGACCTGCTGAAATGTTTTCTCCTTTTGGTTTTCCCAATTTGGACGTCCATCCATCAGTACGGTCACACTTCCTGAATGCCAGGACCTTTAGCTGCTTTTTGGCACCATTTTAGTGGTGAATGAAAAGTTTAGTTACTGTTCTAGGGGTACCCCCCATTCCTTCCAGGGATCCTTCTTCCTAAAAATCCTCCAGAAACCTGGAACAAACGGCTGGTTTTCGAAAGAACGATGGTTGAAAATAATGTTTGGAAGCAACCCATAGAACTGATTGTTTCCCCCATCCACGATGGGAAGTGAGGCGCTTGATAGGGGTTGGCGCCTTTTCCTTCCTCCGTTTTTTTTTGAGCGTTCGACACAGATACCACCCCCCTGTAACGTGCCCCTGAAGGATAAGCCCAAAAAAAAGAGGTCAACTTACGGGGGTAGATAAACCCTAAATAGATTTTACCTTCCCACCAATTCGCATGGAACCTGACGTTTGGGGGTCCCTTTAAACAACATGTTTTTGTTTCAGGACCTTCCAAACGTCGACGGTTCGATGTTCAAAAAATGTGGGAGGGTAAGTGTCATATTGTGGATGGACGAACTCCTGCACGACCAACGAAACCCTGCAATGATGAGTTCCCTATAAATTCAACAATGGTTTCAACCATGGTTTCATTTCGTAGTGCGAGAAGCGGATTTCGCAACCATTCACCATATTTATTTGGGATTTACAGTCGGGGTTACCATTTGCCAAGAGGCAACTTTAGGTACATGTTTTCGAGCCGCAGTCGTCTCTTTGGGGTTTCCACAGTACTAGTAGCGGGGTGTTGTTCCCTTCAAGCAGGCCCCCACGAAAAAGGGGGGACACTCCCCTATCAATCAGGTACAGGTTTATTCTCCCAGGTTCTATTGGATCCCTTTTATCTTGGTGGTTTTTAGCCATCTTTTTGTTGTTTCTCGGGTTTGTAGGATGTTCCTGGTGGTGTTTAGCCATCTGCTCCTCTTTTGTTGTTGTTTATATATATAATATAAATATGTTTATTTGTTTTTTTGGATGTTCCTGGTGGGTTTTGGCCATCTTTTTTTCCTTCGGGTTTTTTGGACGGTCGTTCCCAAAAACCACCGGTGACCCGGACTTCCTGGAGGTCCCTCGGATATGCCAGGTCCAAGAGCTCCGGGCGCGGCTCGGCAGCTGCGAGGCCGCCAAAGCGCCCGGGGGCCTCGGACGCTTCCGGAAAACGCCGCGGTTGGTGCGGTTCCCGACGTCCGGTGGCTTCCGTTTATTAAGAATATGTTTTTTGTTTTATTATTATATTATTATTATTATTTTATGTTCACCAAAGGGTCCCGATTTAGAATTCATACAGATATCTTTTCCCGTTTTTGTGGTTTTGAAGAGTTCTCCTTTTTGGGCCATGGGTGAGTGTCCCTTGGTTCGGGGTGATGTTCTAAGGGGCACTAGAGGGAGCCCTGGAGTGGGGTTTCCCTTTTTTGGGTGGGTTTTGAAGGGAAGCCGAAGACTGATTTAGAGGAAGCACGGCTTTTGGTCGTAGATGTTGCGGTTTGGTTGATTCCACTGGATCCTTTTGAAGCCGCAGAGAGCAGATGGAGTCCCGTCTAGGGGCTGTGGTCCAAGGGGGGTTCCCTAAGGCTAGGGAACCCCAGGCCTCTCAACTACTCCTCTTAGGGATTCCATAAAGGGACGTGTACCTTTTCTGCAGGCGAAACAACTCCCATTTATCACAAGGACAGGGGCAGAGGAAGTCCAGAAACGGACAACTCCCAAATGGTTGATTGCCCTTTTCTTTCCTGTCAAGGCCATTCAGAAGGGTGTTTACCGTTTTTGCACATTACTGCAATATGATCTTTGAAAGCCCGCACTTAGCACATCTTAGCATTATTCCGTCCCTTTGCGCTCACTTTGCAACTTTGGACACCCGGCTGTTGGAGACAGACGCCAATCTTTTTTGCACATCTGCAACAAATGGGTCTCTTTTTGAGGGGAACCCCAAAACGGTTCTTTTCCGTTGGTTTCGCTTGAAAAGCCACACATGTGCACCTCAAGAAGACCAGCAAAATCACCCAAATCTAATTGATACGCTGCGGACAGATGTGCATTCAAAGACATGAGGCTTGAGAACGGTGACGTGTTCGTCGCCATGCTTGGTTTTCAGCGGGCCCATCATCGAGCGGTTGCTTTGTGGTGGTCTCTTGGAGCAACCCATGCCATTGCCCGTTCGTTTTATAGCCCTTGGATTCGAGGTAAGCCCAGTTGCCCAGTGGTGCCTTTTTTGTTTTCCCTTTTGTTTGGGGAAGGGTTCCCCTTTAAAGTCAAGCAACCAAAAAAGGATGTCTTTTTGTTCCCACGGCCAAACGGGGGGATCGCCCCAACCATGGGATTTATGTCAGTGCTCATGTTATCGTCAAAGGCTAATGCCGATGACTGTTTCTTTCCTGGCACCCAGCTTGCAAGTAAATTGCATCTACGTTTTTGCAGCTAGGTCTGAGATGTGTTTTTTTTGGCCCGAAGCCACCCCAGGGGAGCAAGGGACTGTGGATGGTTGAGAAATCCTTCACCACCGTTCAGAAGCCCTGGAACGATTCGATTCCCCCTGTAAATGCCACCATCCTCATGTATTGCGATGGTTGGTTTGGCCGCGTCTCTTGGGCAATAAAAAGACGCTCATGAGAAATGTCGACAACACAAGCCAGCGAGCTTAAAAGTGGTATGTTAAAGTTGGGGTTGAGTCCCATGCTTAAGTCTGGACAGGCTGGCGGCTCCCTGCAAAGAAGCATGTCCTTGAAGACAAGCCTCTTCAACATGGCTGTGGGTCAAAACCAATGCTACCATTTTTGGGTAGGCGCACCACCCATTTTAGTCTATTTTAGTTGGGCTTGGGATGTTCACTGGGGGTACGATTTGGATTTTGACCCATGGCCACATGTCTCCACGGGGACCAAGACTCACGCGAATTCGCCGACGCCCGGTTTTGCTTTTTGCTTTTGCGCCGAGGCGCCAGCGCTCCGAGCTCGAGCGGGAGCTGGCGGGGACGGGCCGGGGGGTGGGGGGGGGTGCAGTGTTATGGGCCAATAGGTCATGTTGACCCCGGATCTAAGTACCTCCATTTGCTTAAGATGTTTTTTTCTCCGTTTGGTTTAAAGGGAATCTATCACTATTCGAAATATTTGCTTTATATTTTTCCATGGGCTTAAGCAAATGGAGGAGTAGAACCCGTCCAAAAAAAACAGGGATGTTCTCCACTCCAACAGTGGCCCCTATTAATATACAGGGGTTTACTACACCGGGATTCCCGTGAGTGGCTCCAACACGAAGATTGGACGTGTTTTGGCAAATCCACTCAGTGCTTTGAGCCCAGCCGAGCAACGGAGCCTCGGAGCTGGCAATGGACGGCACCAAGGAGCCGGGCTCGTGGGAGACGGGCTCGGCCTTTGGACCGCGCTGGAAAAGAAGACGCCCGCACTGGACATCTTGAATTCCTTTGGGTCCGTTCTGACAGGCTGCGCCTGGAGCATGTGCAACCTGGAGTCTCCATGACCCTTTAATCAAAAATAGGTCCTTGACCAACTATGATTTAGGGTCATGACTCAACCCCATTTTTCATTCGGGTCAGAAGGAGACTCTAGGCAGCGAGTTTTCGGATGTTGGAGCGCCTGAAAAACCCAAGGAACTTGGCCTGCGACGAATTTGCCGAACTTTACAAGGCAAAGCAGGTCTGACCCCAAGGCTTTCGTCTCAGGTCGATTCAGAAGGCACCCTTGAACCCGAGAATGACAAATGCATTTTTATCTGCGCAGAAGTGGAAACAAAAGAAGTCGCCTGGAGAAGTCTTTAGCAAATAGCCTGAGGATTTCATTGGACTTATCGAGAGCTTCTAGGATGCTTCTGGTCCACGCGTCCTTGGTAGACTTGCTTGCGTTTGTTTTCTTTTTCTCAATAATATTCTTTTGGGTGCCCTCAAGAAGCCGCTGGAAGTTTCCCCCAAAGAACCTCACAAGATGGATATGTTGCTGTATTCCGGACCCTGCTTATCTATGGTGAAAGCCGCCAGGAATTAAATGTCAAGACGGGGCATTCCCTGTTTCTCTGGTTGCGTGTCCTCTTTTGACTAAAATGCTCCCTTTGACTCGCCGGTGGCTGGAAGGCTAAGGAGCTGGGAGTTCTTGTGGGAGCTTCTTCAGTAGGGAATGACCCGGTTTTGGCCACCAGTTGGATGGTTTTTCTCGCGGTCATGAGCCATTTCTCATTCCCTGCACATCGCACCCGCGAGCGGATTTTCCATCAAAAAGCAATACCATGTGCTTGAACGTCTCGGGGGAGAGCACACCCTGAGAGAGTCGGTGACTTGGCCGGCTTTTGGATCCGACATGTCATGTGCTAAACAATGCGACTATGAGTTTTCACGGGTACTATTCTTGCTGGTGCGATAGGTAGGGAATGCGATAGGTAGGGCTAATTTTTAGTCATTCACTCATTCCCTGCTGAGCACCAGTAAGTATTGAGGTCAGTGCTAGATCATCCACATGGATCATCATGGACAATTGGTCAATTGCTCCCGACCCCCTATGCACCAGTGAGGACTGGGCTTTTCCAATACTGGGACTGCCTTGAAAGCGCTTCTGAGGGGAAAGCGAGAGTCAAATAGGCAATAACGTCAATCGCATCCAGACATTTGGGATACCAGCCCAAATTCGTTGGCCCCTTTTAGGTCCATGTTGAAAGGCAACAGTCCACTGCTTTCGACCACAATGCAGAGGGCAGTATACCTTGCTTGTGTGGGAGGCAATTCCATATGTTGCCATTGTTTTCCGTTTCTCAAAACCAACTCGACTCGGCTGATTGGAGAAATTTCCAACCACACCGGTTTGTCTCTACACACTGAAAGCGAAACCCGCAAAAGCAGCGACGCCAACCCGCATCACTCAGGACTCGAATATGTTTATGTATACACACATACATATATATATATATATACATACACATATGCACATATACACATATACACATATACACGTATACACATACACACACGTGCATACGTGCATGCGTGCATACGTGCATACATGCATACATGCATGCATACATGCATACATGCATGCATATTACATGCATACATGCATCAGGCAGACAGACAGACAGACAGACAGACAGACAGACAGACAGACAGACAGACATGCATACGTACGTACGTACGTACGTACGTACGTACCGACGCATGACATCCAGGGCCGGACTTTTGTGTGTGAAACACTTGACGGCATGCCAGACTGACATCACCCATGCTCATGCAACTGGTTCAAAGAGAAAGCTCAAATGCCATCAACAAGCGACACGCACCAGCTCCAAAAACACAATTACGCAGAACAACAAACTACCAAGACAAACACAGACCAACTATCAGGCAAAAGCGCAACAACGAGACAAGCGCAAACCGCAACAACATCAAGAAATCGGTTCTCAGGCTATGCTATGAGTTGGAGCTATTTAAACAGTCAGGGTATGAGTTGGAACTAACAAAACAAGTCAAGTGGATGCCCCAAACCTTGATGGCTCCCAGCCACCCCCTTCACTTTTTAGCTTCTTAGTGTTTAGTGGGGATTTCCATTTAACCCGCAAGGTTTTCCCAAAAGAAGGCCGTCCAAGGCGTTTGCCGATCGAACACCAGACCCGCCGCTTCAGCGCGCGCAAAATCCTTTGCGCCATGAAGAGAGTGGCGCTGATCCGGCACGGGCACAGCGACCACAACCCCACAGGGAATTACAGCGGCGCGGCAAGGATTGGCGCGGGGGAGACGCTTTTTTGGAGGATTTCTGGGCTCAATTCATGAGGATCAGGTTGGGGGAGACCTGTTGTGGACGGTTTTTGGGAGGATGTCTGGGATTTCTATCCAGGTTACTACCATTTTTTGGATTTCTATTTGGATTGATGCTTGGATTGGTCATGTGTTTGTTGGATCAACATTTGTGGGTGATTGGAGTGCCCCAAGAGCTTGTCTTATTGGAATATGTGTTGGCCTCTGTACCCCGGGATCCAGCTACCACCATTAAAACAATGGGGCGAACATCTAACCACCATGGTTTGCCTGAGGATTGTCATACAAATTAGGTCAACGTTTAGGGTTGAACCCAGGGTATAGGTTCAGGTATGCCTCAATGGTTTGGGGATGGGGAAGGGTGCCTCCTAAGGTCCCAACCAAACCAAACCACCAAACAGAAGGAAGCTGATATTAGTTGGATCAACCCCGGGTGATTGGACTGCTCCAATGACTTTTCTTACATGTGTTGCTGTGAGCTGCCCTTTAGTTGCTCAAAGGCTCACTACATATGAAGAATCAAAGCCATTGTCTTTGGTGGGGGGGCAGAAGCGGTTCTTGAAGTGAAGAAAAGGGACGTTGCCTTTGGGAGGTTCCATTGTAACACGTGCAAACAGCGTCCAACATGGCCAGAAGGGTCGAGTCACTTAAGCGTGCCGTGGGGGGTGTTGGAAGTTGGAAGAGCGTTGACCAACAAGTTTAATATTTTAAGCCCTCCGATAGGCGCGTTCAGCACGCACCTCCCCGTTAGCTAGTGGACACTTGGAGAAAAGGGTTGTGAGGACGGAAACAGGGCCATGTCCTTTTCGCAAAACCCCCTGCTGTGTGTCCAGTAGCTTGAAAAATCTAGGGGAGGCAAGCACAAATCACTGGAAAAGATGGAGCGCAGGCATAAACGTTTGTTTGAGGGGACTACCATAGGTGTCCTTTTTAGGTTAGTTTGGTTAGACATATAAATTTGTTTCGTTTCATTTACCAGGGCCATTTATTCTCCAAGAGGTCACCTATGGGAACTACAAACTTGAAATTGAGGTCCCCCCCCGTGCAGGACAAATTATCGATACGAATAGGAGTGTCGCTGTCGAATTTGAACACGGCAAAATGAGTTCGTCCCACGGAGAAGGCCTTTTTTGGGTGTTGGCATGGTTGTTGTTATTGGGAAACAATACATTTTTGCTTGTTGTGGTTTAGTGGGAAATCCCCACTTAACGGCTAAAGTTTAATTGTTTGCTCCCCTTCCAACGTCAACCAGGTTGGGCTGAAGCTGATTTGTGAAGCAACATCTTTTCTGTGGCACAGATTCCCCAACTTTGGGAGAGTCGCCTGGCAAATCAGTGCATGCCAGACCGCGTAAACCCTGCAACCCATTGACGACGTGTGGGTGCACAGGCAGTCCTTGGGGCAATAGAGGGTCACTCAATCCCATGTTCAACCATGCTTAAGCAAGGCCATGAGTTTTATCTTCCACGCAAATGCTGCGCCTCCGTGTCTTTGAATCAAGTTTGCCCACCTATGGCAATCAGCATTATTCTAGATGTACCTTCCCCATTCTTTCCAGGAATCCTTTTTTCTAGAAAACCTCCACAAACTCAGGGAAAACAGATGGTTATTGAAAAGAACGATGGTGGAAAAGAATGGACAAGGAATCAACCCCTAGAATCTTTTCCCAACCTTCAGCCCAGCCTTCGGCTCCGAAAAAGCCGCCGCCGCAGCCGCGCGCATTTTCGCGCGTCGCTGGCGTGCGAGGCCCCTGGTGGCTGGGCAGTTTGTTCAGCCGCGACACGCGGCTGACGGCCAGAGGCCAGCAACAGGCCAAGGACCTCGGCGAAAAGCGGCCAGGGGCCCAGGGCAAGGAGTGATGCCCCCATCAAACGCCCTCCCAGGAATAGCTAGGTCCCGAGCTAGGTGCCGTTTTGCCCTTTTTGGGGGAGGGTTCCCCTACTAAAATAGACTACAGAAGAAAGGGTACCCTTGTTCTAACCTCTCTGCTGGAGGACCTAGCATAGGGAAGGTGGAAGAATTGGGTGGGGATTTTTTCCAAAAGTGGTCTGACTTCCCAAAAACACCCCCCCTATTAAACGTGGAATTGGGGGAGGGGGGAGTTTGACCCGGCAACCCACTTTCCCTGCGGGAAAGACTAGATAACCCGAATTGGGGGACAGGTTAAAGGGAACCCCCTGTTTCTGACTGTACCCACCAGAAATGGTCAAACT